ACACTTTACATCTTAAATTGTTCAATGGACACAAAAAGATGAAGATTTTTCTTCAATGTCAATACTGCAGACAAAATTGACGTGTTCTCCATCACAGACTTATCTTCCTACTTCTTGTTCGCCTACCTCAACTAGTTTTCTTAGATGTTCATTGGCAACCATATGTTGAAAATAGGAATGTAAGAATCGATATCGATGAAATTAGCTGCCCGTAAATTGTTGACCATCAAGTCAAACTGTTTTTCTTCAAACTCTTAAGCAGTGTCCACTATGAAGAGGTTCAATACCAGCAAAACCCGTTCCGCGGGACCGTGAAAAGTGTCCACTATACGGAGGTGTCCACTATATCGAGGTGTCCACCATGGAGAGGTTCGATTCCAGCAAAAATCGCTCCGTCGGACCGCGAAGTGTCCACTATAGAGAGGTGTCCACTATGGGAGGTTTTACTGTACTTAATATTTAGCTACTTTTATTTGTCCTATTATTTAAATTACATATCTGTTTAATATGTCAGAAGTTAATGACTATATTTAGAGTAGAAAGTGTTTGAAAACAACTCCTTGTTGAGTTACCTGGTCGCAGTTTAATAGAATGCTATTATAGTAATCTTTTTTCTGTAACGTCTCTTACTTTTTTTGCAGACGAAAAAGTTACTCTGTCATCATCACTATATCGATCACTATGGGATCTGTGCAATTGGAAATCAATCATAGGAAAGAAAAACATGGCATGTTAAAATATCTGTTGCGTGAGTGCATTAGCAATTTTTTTGTAAACAGAAAGGAATACCCGAAAAATAAGTGGACTGTTGGGTACCTCATAGAAAGTTAACGAAAGATCCTGAGCGATTACGAGAACATTCTCTATGGTTGTAGAGTAAAGTAAACTAAGAGCCCTTTTTGGTAACACATTCCCGCCAAAATTTATCAAGTTTTAAAGTATCTTCATTTTCTTCAAATAATCATGAATCAGATAAACTTTGTACAATAAGAAAGTTCTAACCTTGTACATTCTGAATATGTACCGCAGCTCTAATTTCAGTTGCATTTGTAATGTTTTTTTATCATTTTCTTTCTATGTACCAAAAAAAACGAAAAATCTTTGAAAAATATATCAACACTGTTGAAAATATTTTCTTCATCTGTTGAAAGATAAGATGAAATAAAATATATTTCCTAACACAGTAAGGTGTGCCCTATAATACTATGTTATTAGTTTCTAAAAATATTTAGCTTCTACTTTAATCACTCTGGTTGACCGTTAGCCGGATAAGCCCTGCAAGAAAATCACTTTTTTAAATACTACAAGTATTCATTAGTTCATATGAAGTAAATGATTCCTACTTCTTGTTTAGTATTTATAAGTATGAATTAGTGAATGAATTAAGTTGGTTATGACTCTTTTAACTCGACAGGGAATGTATACATATTCTTTAAGAATAACAGTTGTTTTCGAATATACTTTATTTCTTCTTGTATATGTCTAAAACTCAAAAGATCTTTGTTTTTCATTGCACACATTTGTTTATACAATAGTAGTTCTTTTTTCTTTAAACATTTTCTCTACTATTATAAGCTATTATCAAAGTCATCTGTTGAGAAATAAACTCTAGACATATACACTACATGCTATGTATGAAAAAATTTACAGTTAGACAAAGTTAAATTTCCATTTTTGAAAGAAAATTAAAAATTGATTCAAAGGTAGATACCAAATTGCGAAACCTTCAAAAAAGATTCGGCAGATTCCGAATAGCATCCAAATGACTCGAAATGCCGAAAAAACGATTCTTCACTTCTACAAAACCTTTAAAGGTTCTGATTCTGAGCACATCATCAGAACCTTCTCATACGAAACCATTTTTTAAGTTCGGTAACGGAAGAAAAGGTTTCGTAATATTGGATTGGCACATAAGTTCTGCGCATTTGGATCAGTAAAATTATATCACCAATATAAAACTACATTTTAAGGCAAGTAATTATATATTCTAATAGCGCTCGGAATTCTCGATCATCCTGTGTATTGAAGTCCTGACTTGCATTTATTTGCTGAAAAAATATTTTGAATACAGGAAAGACACCCTACCCTCAGATTCCTAGGAACTCAATTTTCTGTTCCTTTCTCACGTATTTAAAAAATGTTTATCTATACAATAATCCACTTTTTTAGAAAAGTAATAACATATTGTGAAAGCTCTTGAAATGCTCGATCGTTCTGTATATCCAGGTCTTGACTTGAACTTATGGAGAAATATTTCGGATATTGTCAATGCGAGTGAGGGTGGCTTCACTGTTGTCAAAATGTTTTCTCAGCAAGAAATGCAAGTCAAGAGCGAAATACACAGGGTGATAGAGAAATCTGAGCGCTATCAAAATATATAATTACTTACCTTAAAATGTAGTTTTATATTGGTGATATAATTCTACTGATTCCAATGCTCAGAACTTATGTGCCAACCCAATAGTTGCAGCTTTATGTAATCTCAAGTTGAGTAAACATCCTATGCGTAATAATAGATTATGATATGTTAGTTGTAGTTTCTAGTCAGTTGCTCTTAATAAAGTTTTGTCAGATGTATACCTTTCTGTTTTAGATAAATGACACATATTACAATGAGTAATGTGATAAAAAAATATATTACAGAAAGAGATCTCACAAATCTATCTAATTCTTCCATTTTGAATGAAACGTACAGTAGCAATAGTAAAGGATCATTAGCTCTTTGTTATTACTACAACTGGTAGAAAATCATATGTTCCTAATTATAAACAGAAGCTACACAAAAAGACAATCGGAGCTTTCAGCCATATTGGACATCCCATATTTATATGAATTGTGGGTGGATGTTCATATGTTTTTGGGACTATGTTCACATTAATATATTCAGGGAAAATACAATTTTGCGGAACGTCTGGAAGTTAATTACAGCTACATAACGGATACGTTTTAATGAAATCTTAAATTTTCATTGACCAGAAATAGGTGAATTTTCTTACCCACAATGTCAGGTAAAAATGCATAACATATATTTCTGTTCTGTCGTAAGCAACTAAAGGAAGAAAGAAAAAATTCTTGTAAATTCAAGACAAAGTTCATACCAGTTGATAAATTCTTCTTTTGACAAAGATCCATCATCTGCATCTTTTTTACATATTTGAAACATTTGTTTGACAATGCCTTTTATGTCAGATGTATTAACAGCATCTTCTCCTTTGACCAACGTAGTAACAGCTTCAATAAACTTGACAAGTTCTTGGAAATCAGCGCCACTCTTACTACTGCTATCGATAATGTGAAATATCTAGAGAAAAACTCCGATTTGAATATAGACATATGTTACAAAAAGAAAATATCTTCTCTGTGATTTACCAAGCCAAGACGCTTTTCCGCGTTGTCTGCGTTACCCTTTGATGTAAGCGCAACAGTACTCATAAATTCACAAAAACTAATTGTACCACTTCTGTCTTTATCAATTGCTGGAAATATATAATCGGCATAGTTTCTAGCATTTCCACTAAAAATGTCAATCAACAGTAGATTATTATGTTGTTTCGCAAACACATCTACTGATACAACGTACTTTTCATTAAATTTTGTGAGTTCTGAGACAAAATCATCTTCTGTAAGTTCTCCTGTTGGACTAAAAATAGAATTAAATGAGTTACAATAACTGTTTAAAGGAGCCCTCAAATTGTACTAATACTCACTGTTCATTCATAAAGGCTTTATGCCAATTTACAATCTCATTTTGTGAAAGACTCGAGTTTTCTTTTAAAATTGATGAAATTTGATTGCGTGATAGCTTTTCTAAAACAAATAAAACGAGAATCGTCAAATGTGGAACTTCTTCAAATACCGATTCACTAAAAAAAAACAAGAAAATTCTGTTTCAATCGGAATGTTTTTCTTGCTAGTCAATACATTACTTGATTACAATGTATTGCTCTAACGTCAAAATTCTTTGAAAAATATTCTCTTCACTCCAAACAGATCTAATCGTTTCCTCAACTTACTTAATGAGTCTTCATAATAATCTCTGCATTTGATTGCTCCACGTTTTGCATAATAAATACAACATTTCTCCGCTCGATGTTCATCATTTTCCAAATCAGAATGATGCAAATCATAATCGATAACTATAAAAGCAGAATTAGATGTTGTATCATTTGATTCTGTTTCACAACTTATGAGATGTTTAAAACATCTCAACTGTTTTAACCAATTTAGTTTGTCTTTCGTTTGCCATTTGTCCGATATATGCAAAAGATACACATCTTTTTCGTATAACTCCGGCTCCAATAATTTATCTGTGAGAGAAAATATTTCTTTCAACAAATGTTTTTCACGATCAAAACCTTTCAATGTTCCAATTTTTAATATAATATTTCGTTTATCTTTCAAAAATTTTTCAATCGATCTCGATGAACATGGATTTTCACGATCGAAGTTGTCTAGTAATCTTTCCATTACAGATTCTTCTTCCTGACCACTACGAATATTTTTCAATAAAGTTGACAATTCACGTTGTGTTTTCAATTCAACTGCAATAAGCTCAACCTGCTTCTCACGAATTTCATTTTGCCAATCACGCGAAATATAATCTTCCCATGGTTTAATTTCGTTAAGAAAATCATTGAATTTTCTCTTTCCTTTTGATATATCTTCAAAAATATTCTCAATACGCATGACGACAAGCTGTGATACTTCATTTATCATTCTAAAAAGGATTGATGAATTTAATTAAGACTTGCAGGTGTAGCCAAGTTATACTCGCTTACCTAGTAATTTGTAATTCATGCTTGAAAATTTGTGCTATTCGTTTTAATGGATACAAGAAAAACACAAGCTGTTGTCCTTTTCCATCATTCAATGACTTGATTAGACTCGGAACTTTTTTGAAGACGCTCAGGACTTCTGCAATATTTTGTGGACATTCGTCGATAAGTAAATCACCGGAAAAACTGATTTTTAAGTTTTCATGTTTAGAATTTTCTTTATTTTCAAGGTCAAGTTTGGCATTACCACTGATTGGCAAGGCTTTTAATACAACTGATAATGATCCTTCAACTGTTTCTACTTGGTCATGATTGTCGACTACTTGTTCAAATGTAGCAGCAACATTTGCTCCCCACATGATTCCAGTCACCATGTGTGTGGCATTGGGATTTTCCAACCCATCTTCTGAAAAATACTCCGACAAGCCACCCATTGAAATCAATAATCGCTCTGTTTTTGTTTTCACTTTGTAGACATATGTAACTCGAATTGTGCGACTGTCTTCTTTTGTTTGTTTTAGATATTTTGCCGATCCAGTTATATTGATCATACCACCCAGCAAGCTTAATTTCAAACTTGCTTCGATATTCATTTTATTGAATGTTTCCTTTTGTGAATTGTGAAAAAGTAGTTCATAATCAGTATGAGGATTGTCTCTAACATTAATGAATTCTTCTGGTAATTTCTTTTTGAATAAGTTTGTGCCTTCCAGTTTATCTGTTCGAATATCATACAGTGATCCAATAAATCCTTGTCGACATATTGCTTGTCGTTCAACTTCATCATTTGACGCCATATGAATCAATTTATTTTGTTTCTAAAAATAAGGCATAACAAAAAGATGATAATCTATATATATGATGTTCAATGTGTGTGTCTCTCTGTGTCGGGTGAATGGTCTAGGATTAAAGATCAGGGGCTAAAGAAAGAATAAGGTTATAAGGGGATAAGATTTGACGGTAAGACTAAAAGAGATAATGCCTTGACGAGGTAATACTATAGGGAGAATAAAGCAATTAGGAAACTCTACATGGACTATAAAGCTATGTATATACATAATGTCGAATATCTATATGGCTCTTACGGGATGAAAATTTGAAAGTTTGAAGGTTTGGAGGTTTGAGGTCACACTTTAAAATAAAAGAAACAGCCTTGCAGTTTGCGCCGACTATCGCTAGTAATCAACGTCGCTCTCTTTTCTACACTTTATTGTGTCATTTTGCTGTTGCTATTCGAAAACCTAATCAAAGCACCTGATTCGAAATGCTTGGTGACTCTGAATCGTAAACGAATCCGATCGTCGAATACCTCTACGGTTTTGACAGGGTCTACGGGAACTTATTTTTTGGGATTTATTTCTTCTGCAGAATTTATTTATTTAGCAGGTGTTACAGTGATGTCGCACTGATACAACTCGCCATCTATTTTTCATCTTTTTTATTTTTCTTTTTATTTTGTTTTCTATTTCTTTCTCATTGATATATATCGAGTCTTTCTTTTGTTATCCATTTATCTAGTCTCTGTTCTTTTCTCGTTCACTATATATGTATGTGTTTTTCATCATTTGAAACATAAAATAAAATATCGTGTGTCGGTGTACATATACACACAAAGACATACGTTTTTTCTTAGAGAGAGAAAAACGAACTTAGCGCTGATCCAAAAGCGATGAACGCTAACAGCTTGCATCCTGGATTCCTTCGAAACTGGAATTTGTGTTACTGTTAGTAACGCTTAGAGCTCTGAAAATGTGATTGGTCCATTTGCGGACTAAACAACTTGGATTATTCGGTTTCTACATTACTTGCAAGCATTCACTGACCCCATTCATATGCCTCTCACTCGATAGAGCTACCTCAATAACCGCTGAGTGGACCCCAAGATAAGAAGTGCTAGTGCAGCGAATAAGAAAAAAGTCATCTGAAATCTGATTGATGCAAAGGCTGATCAATGAGATGCAGAGATTTGACTTCCTGTGTTTTTTATGCTGGAACTCAATCTATATATTTCTCATTGAACCGAGGAACCTCGACAATCATACATTCTGTCTAAAGAAAACAAACGATACTCCTAAGAATAAAAGGAACTTCCATTAAGTATGATTTATGGGAAAGTGCACTGAAAATATTTCAGATACTGCGATCTATCCCAGAGTTTTTTATAGTGTTTGTCGCATCCGTGTGTTCATTAGGCTGAGTATGATCTCTCTCTTAAGTGTAGGCTGTTTATATGAAGTCGAAGTCGGAACAGCATGAAGAAACAGTATCTGGTCATGATCTGCTTGCGTTTGGCACTTTATAACATTTGACAGCTCTCATTTCTTCAAGACTCTAGGTAAGATCAAAATCATCAACAATTCGAGACGTAAAGTAGTGGAAGCTACGGTATGAGTACTTGAACGAGACTTTACCCGCACACTATACTTGAGAAATTGACAACTCCTGGCAACCATGGAATGTGTGATAAGAGTTGCCGTCAACAGTTATTTTTCGGTTCAGCTATCCTTCCTCACCCAAAAACTTAGTACCGGTGTAGGTGTGGAGTGTTGAGAAGTAATTTCGTCTTCATCTATGCCCATACCCACAACCACACCTCATTGGTGAGGACTCAGTAGGCTCGGGTATACATTAAATTATAATTATTTTGGTGAGGAGTGCACAAATACAAATACAAATTGCATCGGCGAATCCTTTCAGATATCCACTTAACAAAATGCAATCCAATGTAACGGCTTGTAATGGCAAATAATGGCCCTATGTAACGCTACACTATTATATATATCCTCATAAAATTCAGTACTCTCAAAGCTGGAGGTTGAATTCCATTACTGAGTTTTTTCTTCAATAATTTCAACATCGGACACATGAAGTTCAACTATTCAACTGCTCCACTTTTGTTTTTCCAATATTTGAATTTCACTAACTCATTTATTCAACTATGTGACTATTCTCCACCTCTGCGCTCATCTGCGAGAACAACAATGGCACTGTCATCCGCCATAAAACACCTGCATCCTTCACCCTCCTTTGGGTGCTGTGAGGTGTGTGACAGAGAATAGTGAAACAACTAACCAGTTCATTACTTCAGGTACAAGTATTCAATAGATGCACCCTTTAAGCCCCCCCCCCCCCCCTAAAAAAAAGTCAATTTTCGTCAAATTTTTCGAAATTGAGATAACAGCACGGGAAGATAGCCCGTGATCTGCTCTGTCATAGCTGATAAAAAGTTTTCCTCGATACCTCCTTTTTGTCCAAAATTTTCGAAGATTTTCGTCACCCCCTATTCGAAAANGTGTCAACGGATGACCGATTTTAGACGCTCAAGCAAAATAAATGAAAAATAGACGCATGAACCGTCTTGTAAGACGCATGGCATTTTTTAGAGTGTATATATAGTCCTTTGCCACCATTGTCTGATTAGGAACCCTCCTTATTGGAGAGTTTTTCATGGTACGTGTAACGTTTTTCAAGGAATATTCAGTACGTCCTCCGTACGTGTACGGTACACGCACCGAGCAGTACCATTGTGCAGTACGCGTACCGAGGTCGTACCGTTCGACATGGGAATATACAGCGAATGTGGCACCATCTATCGAAAATTGTGGTACGCAACAGAACTTAATAATACATACACCATTAGATAGAGGAAGTCTTCCTCTGTAAGGCTACGTATATCTCCTTATCTGGTCAAAAGGTCATAGTCGCCTTTAAATAAAAGATCTTCTCAAGTATGATTTACTTTTTAACTTTTTATTGAAAATATTTTAAATTCAAATCATTTTATCAAAATGTTTCATGAAACTCATTTAGATTCTTATCACATATTATTTTTCATTTTCAAAGTCAATAGATAAATATTATTTCATCAATATGTTATTTTTTTAATAAGAGACAGATTTCTGCATTTATTTTTAACGAAAAATATTTACTCAAAATAAATCTATTTAAATAAATTCAATTAAACTATTGTTTTTATTCGATTTTTCATTTATATATGTGTGAACAAACTAAACTACTACTATTTCAGGTATAAATAACAATTTTTATTCTAAAAGAGATATTTTTCGTCTAGTTATTGTCGAAATACGAGGAAAACTTCAATAAAAAACTCATTTTTTTCCTCAAGAAAAAAAAAAGCTTTAAAAAAATTTGTTAATATTTACATTGATGTAAATGCTTCACCTTCAATTGATGAAAATAATGAATTAAAATCAAATGCATCTGAAATTCGAAAATATAAAAAACGATTTAATTGTGATATATTATGTGCTACTTTATGGAGTTTGTTTGTTTGTGTTTTTTAAATTAATTATTAAAATAATAATATTTTATTAAAAGAAGTTAATTTATTAATTGGAACAAAAAATGGTTTAATGTTATTAGATCGAAGTGGTGAAGGAAAAGTATATTCATTAATAAAAGGTCGTCAATTTCAACAATTATATGTATTAGAATCACAAAATATTCTTTTAACAATAAGTGGAAAAAATAAAATAAAATAAAATTCGTCTTTATTCTCTTTCTTTTATAAAAAATAAAATTGTTAAAACTCAATCAAATGATGGGAAAAGACCTGCTTTTACTAATTTCAGTGAACTTCACGAGACTAAACATTTAAAATTTTTTTTTTATATTTAATTTAGTTTAATTTAAACCTCATATAAAATAAATGTTTTCATTAAATATGAACGAATTAAATTTTTAATCGTAGCATTATATGATTCAATTGAAGTATACGTATGAACATCAAAACCTTATCATAAATTTATGATACTTAAAGTATTTAATCAATTAGCATATCATCCATTATTACTTGATTTAACTATTGAAGAAGGTTCACGTTTAAAAGTTATTTATGGTTCATCATATAGTTTTCATGCTGTTGATCTTGATACTAGTAATCAAATTGATATTTATTTACTTTCACAAGTATTTTCTACTATTTTAATTATTTTAATTAAAAAACTTTTTCTTTTTTTCCTTATTTATAAAATAAAGTTAAATGATTCAATTGAACCACATGCAATTATTGTTCTTTCAAAAACAAATGGAATACAACTTCTTCTTTGTTATAATAGTATTTTATTCTTGAAAACTTTTTATAATAATAAAATTAATTTTTTTAGATGAAGAAATTTATTGTGACACATGGAAAAAGAACAAAAGATATTTTATTATAATGGGGAGAATTACCTACTTCTCTTGGTTAGTTTTTTATTATTTTATTTTATTTTTGTTTTCAAATAAACTTTTTTATTAAAGCATATATAAGTAATGGTAAAGTAATGGGATGGGGAAATAAAGCTATTGAAATACGAAATTTTCATTCAGCTACATTAGATGGAGTTTTTATGCATAAACGAGTGTAAAAATTAAAGCAAGATTTTATTTATTTATTTATTTAAAAATCATTTTTTTTTGTAATTAAAGATGTTCATGTGAAAAAAATGAAAAAGGTTTTTCCTTCAATTCGAAATGGATCATCATGTCAGATTTATTTTATAACTCTTAATAAAATGAATTCTTGTTAATTGAATTTATTCATTATATTATATTTTATTTCAAACTTTTTATTCTCAAATTAAATCTCGACCATCAGTTTTTTTTCTTTTTAATTCATTTTTATTATATTATTTCATTTCGATTTATAATAAATTCATTTATAACAATTATTTTATCATTTTGACAAAAAAGAAAAGATATACAGAAATGATATTCAATTATCTAAAGTAATTCTTCAATACCCATTAAAGAAAAAATAATACGATTTAAATAAGAAAATATTAAATAATTATTTTTATCTTTAAAAATTTATAATTACAAATAAGATTTAGAGAATATCCCATACCCTCTTTAATTAATTTTTAGATTTTCAAATTGAGAAAATATTTATTTGAAGTGCTTTTATTTAGAATCAAAAAAAGTTAAATAAAATTTTCAGTCCAGTCATACTAAATTGTTTTTATTTTGATGACCTTCTTTTAAACGATCAGATCTGTAAATGATTTATATGTATCAGCATGTTCCTTCAAAATATCCACCACCGGCTTCATAAAACGTCGAAAATGATCAGCACTTAATTGGGCACATACTAATTTTCCTTCAGCTACTACCGTGGCGGCATTTGGCACATTCATAAACAATGCAACACCACCAAAATACGAACCACGAGTTAATCTTCCAACTTTTACATCAACACCATCTGATAATCTTTGCTGATATACAGCTGCACAACCTAAAAACAACCTTTTATAACAAAAGAAAAAGAAAAAATCTTCTTTTACCATCATCAATAATATAAAAATCTCTTCCAATCTCCCCTTCAACCAAAACTTTCTTCCCATCTTTATATTCAACCTTCTTCAAATTTCCCAGTATCACTGTCAGATCTCCATCACTAGCATGACGAAATATTTCCATCGTCTCCAATAAATCCTTGCATTGATCAATACGCTAAATAACACAAGATACTAAAAAACAAAAAAAAAAAAACATTTTCTACTTACGTTAAATACAGCCACCATCTTCTCCTCATTATAAGACTCTACCAAGTCGTCATCATCTGCTGTATTTCCATTACAACTAGATGTTTCTAAATAAAAGAAAAACTAAATTGAAAGAAAAAAAAAACTGTATTCTTACCTGAATTATCTGTTTGTTCATTAACAAGAACACCTACAGATTCATCACTTGTTGTTGTTNAATATTTTCGCGTGATAAAAAATTTGTTGTGCCATGGCGGGCCCCCCCCTTACGAAGTTGGGCCCCCCCCCTTGAAAAATTTCTGCGTACGCCACTGGAAACTATATAACAGTTAATTATTTATGCATCACATTCTGTGATTAATAGCTTGTATTGATGTTTCATAGCTTTACTTTTTGCTCGCGTTTCTTGGTTTTCAGGATCCGAAAACAACTCTAACTTTCTCGTCTAAAGTCAACTGTAACAATATGAACTAATAATCATTGTTAAAAGACTAGATCATATCGAGACGGTCTAGATAAAGTTGTAGTGTCAGTATTTCTATCATAATTCAGTGTCATCTCATGATATAGAGTTGATCTCTTTTGCAAAAAGAACTGCCATCAAATTCTCTTCGAACGAGGATCATTAACTTATGGAACACAAGTATTGTCTGTCTTAGAGAAATCATAAGATTGCATTATACAATAACTGACGCTTTCAAGAATACTAAGTTTCATCATCTTTTTCATATTACACTCTCATTGTCAATAATTCTTGATTTTTGAGAATATAATGTATGTTTCAAGTTGAATGACGTTTTTATTTGAGGTTTTATATGCTATTGCTTCTTATCAAATAGTTTATCCCTTTTACAAGAGGAATCCTTGTCATAATCTTTGTTATTATGTAGTATATCTTTAAAAGCAAGAGTTATCGATAATGAAAGCATAATATGTAAAAGATAATGAAACACTTTATTCCTGAAAGTGCCATTTATTTTATAGTACAATCCTATGATTCCTCTAAGTCAGGCAATACTTGTGTCATTGACGGCGGTTCTTTTTGTCAAAAAGATCAACTCTATATAATGAGACGACACTGAATTATGATTGAAATACTGACACCACCATTTTATTTAGACCATCCGACAGTTTTGATTTAAATTTTTGTTTGCTCATAAAAGACACATGTCACTACTACGTGAGGCGGATTCTTTTGACTAAGAGAATCCTCCACGCTGGTACTAGCGATTGGTGTAAACGTGATAAGCTGTACATAGATGTACTCCACCAACACATTTCATTATGTGCTGCATTTCTCTCTGAAATCAGTCCGAAGTCATGAATGTTCTCTTTTTTGATCACTTAAATAGAGCATGTGATAGAATCAACGGTACACTTTTCTGATTTAATCATGAATTCTTGTGACAGGCTTCAATGTAAATGGCGTTAGTCGTGTAAGAAGAATCCATTCTCTCGATCTAGACCTCTTATTAGAGACTAGTTCATGGCAAAATGTTCATAATTGGAGTCTTTGCTGAAGAGCTTCTCCAGAAACCTGAGTGAGTCAGATGATGATTCCTAGATGAGAGATGATTGTACATTTCTCTGATTAATAGGCAAACCAAACTCATAAAGTGTTCGTAGTTGAATAAATTCAACACTAGATCTACCTGTGAACCAATCATCTCTTGGCGTATATAATGAGAGACGATCTCTTCAGAAAGCGAAAGCTGATCACGCACATATGAAACGGTGCCGCAAAGAAAAGAAATAACTTCCACATGCTTGTTCTCGCGAGCGAATAGTTCAAAAGCGTTCTTCGATTCGTTCAGCCTTAGGAAAACTACCCACACCTTCCGGTAAGCAAGCGAACGATCGCTCCGACTCGCGCATAGCAAACAGATCCAATTGAAAGAAGCCATGCCGTAGGACAGTGGCCAAACAATTTGGATTTCCACGACCTGCATTCAGCATGGCTGTATTCGCTGGTCAAGATACCACTACACGTCCACCAACCTCTTTAATCAGCACATTTTTCAGTTCAAAGGGACTAAGTGACATTAGCTCGTCCATAATAAGATGCACACGTTTTTTGTTCGATAACATTGGCAGAAACGAGAGCTAACGAGAGTAGAACTAAAATTGCAGTAGAGAAAAGAAATAGAGCTGATGACAAAAAATAGAGAGAAAGAAAAGAAAGAAAAATGACGCCTAGTTTTCATCATTAGTTGCTATTCTGTAAAGAAAGAAAGAAAAAAAAATCATTGTCCTATTGCCTCTTTTTTTCTTGTTCTGCATCGAGAGCGCATTAAATTTTTTTTCCTGATTTCTGTACGCGAACGACCTACCTTCTGTACATAATTAACACGGTCAGCAGGCTCGCCCTCTTACATGTGACTATTGTACAAGCACTGTTGAACTACATGAAAGATATATTTTTATTCAACAATTTGAGTTTTTACAAAATTGATCCATGAAACTGTACATGTTTAATTTGAAAGAAGACCACGCTATTTATAATATATTTAAAACCAAAATGACTGTTTTAAGTTTTGAAGGTGTAAATAGCTTTCAATTCAATCATATTAATTTTCTGACAAATGCATTTTAATCAATTCATTAGTAGTTCAATATATAAGAGAAATTTTACAGCATATAGCACTTATCTGAAGTGAAATCCAAATAATTTCTAATCATGGTATAATTTTTTGCTTTGTTAGGCAAAAACAATGTTCTTTACAAGGAATTAATAACCTCAGAATTTGTTATATAAGTGAATACCGTAAAATTAGAATCGTAAGCTAAACAGAAATCCAATTTTTGATTCAATAGATTGGAACCTACACAAGGCGCGAAAAATATATTTTTGTTTTCCGTTTGTCGACGTAACAGTACACCAGGATGGGTAAAGTTGACTTAGTCAATTAACTGAAACCAATATGATCATCGTAGAGTAATGTTGAAAACATATAGAAATACATTTTTGAATTTAAATTGTTATAGATTTTGTTGCAGAAATAAATGGTACGAAGGGGATATGTGTCAGAGGCGAAAAAGTTCATGTTTACTAGAGATCCTTACTGTTAGATGTTTCGTATAAAACAATATGCCTTTTCCAAAACCTTTCACATCAACATGGTCCAATTGGTAATTTTTATGAACATTTAAACGGGTGAGAAACAACGTGACGAAATCACCATCGAATGATTACGTTTTTGTGAAGAAACATCGAAACATTACTTTTCTTTCAAATTGTTATTTTAAATAGATCTACGACCCGAGGAGAGTGATTTTTGGAACTCTATTGCTTAACTGAAGAGTGTACCTGCAATGATGTCATTTGCCACTAGAGACTATTTTAATGGCATATTATCTAGATGACAACAACTAGTGATATCATCATTACAGTCAAAATTTCTTATTTTTAATTCAGCGTGTCTTTCTATCAACCATATTCTACTATTTTTTTTTTTATTTTTTAACCTTCTCTTATTTAGTCTTTTAGTATAATTACGAGCACGTGATTTTTACAACTGTACATGTCGATACAAGTGTAATTATTGACGACAGAAGAAAAGATATCAATGTTAGGCCAACGTTTTTATTTTGAAAGATCTTTCTCAAGTCATCATATTGTTCATCTTCTCTAGCACGAGCATGTTAAACAACTTAAATGTTATTTTGTCTGAATATCCTTTGTAAGCTGTTAGATAGTTTTAGCTGTTTTTCTGAAAATGCCATTGACAACAGCAGAAAGAGCTAAAAATTACTGTGATCGACTAAAATAAAAGAAAAACTATATTGATTTTAAATGGAAAGATTGCGAACGAAAAGTTCAAAAATGAGCGTCAATGAACATCAAAGAAAAAGAAAGATTCCTTGATAATCATCGAATAGCACAACGACGCTATCATGAAAGTTAAAAGAAAAAGAAGGTAATACAATGAAGCCTTAGTAGCTTGAATTAAAATATCTTTTTATGTTATCATAACATTTTTGTCATTCAGTTCTTCGTGTCACAAGCAAACTTTTGCTAAAGCTGTGAAGAAAGTATTACGCGTATTGTCTAATAATCCAAGTAAACAAAATCAGACTCTGAAACGTATCGGACAGGATATAAGATTGTTTCCAAAGCCAACATTTCAACAAACACAAATAAATAGATATGAAGCCGTTATAAAAAAGAATTCATGATTTTTACGAAAAGGATAGTATTTCCCGGAAAGCACCTGGAAAACGCGACTATTTAATCATCCGAGAAAATGGAATTTGTGTTTAGCACCAAAAACGTTTTTTTATTATATAACGTCTGTGAAATTCATGAATTATTTATTGAAGAAGACCAAGGTATGAGCAGATATTTTTCGCTGAAAACATCTGATAAGGATAGGAATACAGAGTGAGGTCGTATTTTGATAAGAAGAAAAAAAAATTAAATCTTCGTTCTTTCTTCTATCTGCATGTTTCAGAAACTATCGTTACGTTTTGAACTTCTAACGTTTTTATTTTACTTTAAATATATCAATTAGTCGATCATCGTTCGCTGAACTTCGACCAAAATATATTTTACCAAAGAATACTCTAGCATATCGAATATGTATCTGTATCATTCATGAAAATGTTAACCTGTTATTAGAAGTGTTGTCTAAAGAAGTACAAGGTTTAAAAAATAATTTGAATGAATTTTTATGCAAAATGGTATGTAATGAATTAGAAGAATCTTGTATGATGTCATGCTGTGATACCTGTAAAAACAATTTTAAACAGCATATTGTAAAGCGGTTTAATCGCTAGAAAAGTAGTAAAATGGTTTCAATGGACAAATATCAATAGGCGAGTGACGAAACAAGTTTTCCCTGGTAAGAATAAATCTTAAATATATGTATAGAAGTAATACATTTTTTTAAATTGATTTCATACGTATTATTTAAGGATCAACATCCAAATGTGTTGAGCAATTAAAATATAAAACACCACAATATCTGTGGCATGCATACATTAAAAGAAAACAAAGTAGTTATTTTTAATATATTAAAAATAATGCCATTAATCAAACTGTTATCTGCCAAATAGATTATGCAGAAAATTTTGCACTTGATCATCAAAAGCAAATACAATCTGCACATTGGACAAAAAATACTTATCTGCTTTTACCTCTTATGCTTGGCAGAGGGGAAGGGGCGGTGACGAAGGTTAATCATTTGGATTAGTATCAAACTCGATCAAACATGATAAACATTCAGCATGTATTTACAAATTGTCGTTGATGAAATTCTTAGTATGGTACGTGATATACAAGAAATTATTTTTTTCTCCCACAATGCGTCCAGTCAGTTTAAAAATTGTTACATCATTAGTTATTTAATAAATGTAATGGAAAAAATGGATATTGATTTTAGTTGGAATTATTTCGCCTCGTTCCATGAGAAATGGATAGTGGATGGCATTGGTGAAACTTTGAAAAGGCTTGTATGATTCGAAAAAATGGCAGGAAATCAGTGTCTATCAGCTGAAGATTTTCTTAAAATATGTCATCAAAAGACAAAAACAATATCTGTTATTTTTGTAAAACAGGCACAATTAGATGTAACAAAGTCAATGCTTAAAAAATCTTTTCATCAATTAGTAATCTGTTTGATATTCGAAAACAATATCACATTCAAATTTTGTACAAAAGTGTAATTCAATATGCTCGTTATTAAACAAGTAAACATCAATATATTTTTAGATTTTAGACTTTATTTATATTTTTATGGCTTTAGATTTGAGGTTTTATACTATTAGAAAGATATTTTAAACAGATTTTCTTGATTTTTCTCTCTTTATAGAATAATAGTCTTTTAATTGTGATGTAATTTTTAAAAAATTCATAATTTCTTAAATGTAATTCTGTTAAAACTATTTTTGTGTCTAAAAAATGAATATTGTTTTCTTCAAATTTTCTTTTTTATACGTATAGCTCTTCATCTCAGCCATAACTTTTCTAGAGAAATTGTTTTCATTACATTTATAGTTGAACTAAGTACTTTAATTCTTTGAAGAACAGTCAAAATTCAAGTCCATTTTTGGTGATTCTCTCACATATGTATATGTCAATCGTAAAATAAGTGTGGAAACTTGAAATTTTATGAAACGTCCAGGGTATGTAGGAGAATTCGGTTTACATAATTTGTAAACATATCAGCCTTATCCAACTTCATTTCACTGACATATGGAAAAAGCAAGGTGAAAAAACATGATTCCATCATGCTTGGAAAGGCCGTGTGTATACTTCTGAAGTTAATATGCTTATCATACAATAATGAGTTCAAACAAGTGAACTGTTGATGAGTTGATCATACTAGCAGCTATACGACACAACACAGTCATTTCTCGGTATTTTTCAATAAAGCTATCCAATTCATTCTTCAAGATCTCTAGCTAATTCTTGCATAACTTTGTAGTGCTCACTGTGTCTTGTGAAATCACATTAGCTCGACTTCTATTGAGCGCATCTTGTGGAAGATCGAACGCTGCCAAAATGGTGATTGTGATCAAAATCATGACTTCAGGAAGAATTTTCTGAACAATAGAAACTATCTAGAAAGCTGAATTTTTTTATCCTGATAGTTACTCCATGAGACCTCTAGATTCCTCAAATTTCAGTTCTCTAATATGGTCCATTCATGGGATATAAACATGCACAAAAGATAGAAAAATGACCATTTTGTCATGTATCTGCTAGTATGATCAACTCATAAACAGTTCACTTCTTTTAAAAGATTCGTGTGTTTCAAGAGTGATGTATCCACGATACACATTTGAAGGCAAACCCATCTCAAGATTTCCTCAGACGCTTTTCAAATAGTTATAAAAACACTACCAATGTCCAGGGTCGCTTGTCAAACACATTAAAGATCGATTAGTTCCGACTGCCAACCGCATATTACAAAGTTTTCTAATTCACAAGAAATCTCAACAAGAACCTTTAACAGGAATAAAACAACAATACCCTAAGTCATGATGAAAGATCATTTCTGCTTCTTCATTTTTTCTTATGAATAAACTGTCATCTGCAAGAAATGTATGACTAGCACTGGTCGTCTCCATCGAACGACTAATCATCTATTCTATATGTTATGTGTCTATTTCCAACGAAAACACAGCAAATCAACAATTCAATGAAGACTAAATACATTTTGCAAAACGATGGACGATAACTAATAATTATTATATTATTTCACTATTATTGTTTCCTAAAATCTGAAACCATGGAATGTGAAACAAGGTCGAAACGCATCGTGTGATGCTTTCAATCAAACAAAGTGGAGATCATAACCCACTTTCTCTAGATATATGTGTAGAAAAACAATTTCTCCATCATTTGACGGTACATTCAGCGCAGCACGTTTTGCGTTGTGGGTTAAGGTAGTTTTAGCGAGGCCTATCTTTTTTAGAGTAAACTATTTGTATCTTATACTCTGAAGACTTTGACAGAGTCTGAGTTAGATTAATGACTATTGGTAAATAATTACAAGTTCGATGGTTTCACAGGAAGCCGACTTCGATTTCTTAGTACGACGCCTCATAAAAGCGGCGCAAAGTATAGCTAACCAACAAAATACGAAAATCACAAAAATTAGGAAAACTCAGAATCAGGTTTTCTCTTAAAGTAGTATTCAATAAAATTTCATCTCACTAATGTCAATATATGCCTTTTTGCACAGTTGCTGCTCATAACATTCTGCTCCATTAATATAGAAATTAATATAATCGTTTGATATTTATTCGAATAGAAATATTATTTGATGCATTTCATAATGAAAGAGTTAAAATTCTTGTCCTAAGATAAATTCATGTGACTGGTTAATCAATTATAGATATTAAAAGTTTTGTATTATGATTTTTAACATTATGCATTGTTGGTGTTGGCTCATCAGTTCACATTTTTGTCACCGATGGATCGTAGTCGAGAATGATAAAATTTCATAAGAGTCTCGACAAAAAGATCGAAATCTTGAAGGTTACATCGATGACTGGTAATAGCAACACGAATGTAGAGGCGTTGTGCAATACGTGTAGTCGACGGAGCTGCAACACCTGATACCTGAATATCGGCCATGAGCTCGTTGTTGAAATCATCAATTACTTCAGGGTTGGCTTTGGAAAGTTCGTTTGGTTCAAATCGAAAGTTGACAATGCTGAGTACGACAGGACGAGCAATCCGAACGAAACTGTTATGTTTTTCCAAGAGAGATACTAAATATTGAGCTTGCTCACAATTCTCAGCAATCTTTTCACCTAATTTTTTCATCCCGTGCTCTTTTAATGTAAACCATACTTTGAGAGCACGAAATGAGCGTGACATTTCAGGACCTAAACTATTAGGCCAGGGAGCATCACCAGTAATCCCGCGTTCGAATTTTAACAAATAGGATTGATTGGCAGAAAACGTTTGAAGAAGTAGATTGGGGTCGCGGACAAGAACACAACCCGATTCGTATGGTACATGAAGCCACTTATGAAAATCGAAAGCAAGTGAATCAGATTGATCAATACCAGAAACGAGGTGGCGGCGTTTCGGATCAAGAATGACTAAGCTACCAAAAGCACCATCTACATGAAGCCACATATTTTCGAGTCGCGCGATAGTTGAGAGCTCCAGAAGATTATCAAAAGCACCTGTATTGATCGTTCCTACAAGAATAACGAAACCAAACACATTTACTAATTGAAGGTGTGAACATTGGCGCAGACTCAACAGGTGGATCCGAAAAACTTCAGACCTCTTACACATTTGAAAAAAAGAAGCTAAATAAACTAATGGTTTTCCGTATACAAGTAGTAAAGAAGTTTATTTAGACTTGGGAAAGAAAAGGTGAACTCTAATTTTTCTGACAGAGTATTCCGTAATTTTTTGCGTGTTCCTCATGTGAAGCAAGTAACGCGAAAAATGAAACAAATAGCTGTGTGGCTTTCGCAAAAAATTGCTAAGATTAGAAAAAAAGACACATCTTTGAAAGATGTTCCACATGCGGAATTATTCAACCTATATAAGAACATGCATCAGGCATGAAAATGATACTGTAAGGAATTCATAAACTATCTTCATTTCAAGTACACATAAAACAGAACATGACACGAATTTCTACATTCTACGCTGAGAGAAAAGGTGACACACAAAACTAGAGAGTATTTTGTGCGCGCTACGAAACTTTAAAAGAGTTTTTGAAAATTGTAACAAATTGGAAACCTTAAAAAAGCGTCCTAAACCTTTGTCAAGTCTATTGACGATGTCTTAGGCTCCTAAAAAACTTTCAAAAAGGTTTCAAATTCGTTCAATTCAAGTTCGACATGGCACCTCTTTTCTCTCAATGTATAGAAACTCTATTAACTCTAAAGAATACTGTCCGTTAGATCTCGATTCTTTTTCTCAATCAACTTTAAGCTGTTGCAAGAAATTTATATCGTGTCGAAATGTAACACAGCCTTGTAGCCGAGACATAAACAGATCCCTAATTTTATTCTAGATTTACGCCCTTACTAGTTGCATAACAATTTCTGAATTCAAAGAGGGACTTAACAGTTAACACCTTAACTTGATTTTCGTGGTTTCTCTTTAATATTCATATGTCAAAACATGTGTCTTGATGAGATCAATGATTGTTGAAGATACCTCTGGATTGTCGTATTGGGCTCAGAAATCGTCAACATAGTTATTACTATTGTGGCTTAGCTCTTTATTTTTATTTTGCATGAGTTCTCACTGATGGGTATCTATAATGGCTTTCTCGTTTCAGACAATGCAGTTGGATTTTTCGCTCCAATGAGTCTTTGAAGTATCCCTCATTTAATACGATATAAAGAAAACTTTTTTGCTAATTTTTCGACCCTGAGGAAAATCAATTATTCTCAACATTTTTTATCTCAAAAATACGCTGGAAATCTCTTTAGCGTAATGAATGCTCTATACGAAAGAAGTCATTTGATTACTTGAATATATGTCAAGGATCAATCTTGTCTCTTTTGTAACCGAGGAATCAATGCAGCTGTTGGTTAGATTACACCGAAAAATAAAAAGTCTAGCATGCTAAAAAAACTGTATTTAGCGCTATTTCAAGTTTATCTCGAAAAGGTTTAATCAAAACATGCAATTATGTACTGTTTTCTTCTAACTTATATGTCATCTACTCAACTCTGATTATGTACATCTTGAATACAAATCTGCAGAATTTTTTTTTCTATTTTGTAAGATTTTTCATCGTTCGTTACTGGTAGGTATTATAAACTTCGACGACATTGCAAGCGTCCTTGTTCACGAGATTATTCAAGTTCGTGCAGAAGAGGTCTAGAGATTTGCATCTAGTATTTAACGTGTACGAAATTCAAGATGTTGGCATGAAGTTCTTTAAACTTTTCGGAATGTCGGAAATATACTGGTGCGTGTGCTGAGTTTCGATGTGGACGAAATAAATATTTAGACAAGAACCCACATCCTTCTTCTTAAAATCACCTAGCAAAAGATAAAACACACGGTAGAACTTTATTATTTTGAATTGATTCCTTCAGAATATTCAATTTTTCAATATTTACCTTGATTTCAACGAACTTTAAATTGTATGGCGAGAAAGAGTAAGCCTTAGACCACTCGAACACATCTTAACTTTCGTTTCATGACTTGTAGAATTGTTTTCAGTATTCTTAAATTTAAAAAATGAAATAGCTTGGAGAGGCAATTCATTTCTACGTGGTAAATATTCTTCGATTAATACTCTCCTTGATTTTCCACAGCAATAAGTCTAATCGAATTTCTGTTGAGAATTTGACGCATAGATCATCTAGAAAAACGATTAGTTTTATCGATTGAGAAGAAAATCAAGCTACAGTGAGGATACTGAGAAGTTCACACTGTATACCTCCCTCTCCACAATTACAAATAAAAGCTGTCATACTCGCATATTACTTAGGCGTAGTTAATACCTTTCTCCATTAAATGTCAACTGATGTAAAGAAAGAAAACCATTTAAAAAACTTCAATCCAGTTGACTTTTCAATCACCCATGACTGTCCACTCCTCAACAAAGTTTAGCCGAATAATGACTCACTACTGAAATCGCCTTGGCTAGGCCACTGTCTCCGATTCTTACTGGTCCCAATGTTCAAGGGAGAATGTCGAAGAATTCTGAACGTACTTGACATATGGATTAGAAACAATTCGATGTGAGTGCTTCAGTAGTTTTTTTCCTTAGACAGAACGGTTTAATCTAGTATTTCTGATTTCAATACAGCTCGGCTAGATCCTTTGTCTAAGAAAGACAACACAACAATCAGAAATTTTCCTCGAAGACTGACAGAGAAGGTTGGTTTTTTAATCGTTTATCACTTTTAAGGAACATCTTCTATAAGTAAGACAAGCGTAGCTTTCTTTCTATATGTCATCCTTTCTTTCGTTAATCTATTGCGCTATTCTAAATCAGAATCAAAACTCAAGTAAATTTTTCTTGTAGACCTCTATCAGACATACCAGCGTTTCCAATAATGCAGAAAGGAAGAAAGCCATTATCACGATCCGTTCGAATACATGCCTTCAGTTCATCGATGTTGATACAAAAATTTTCATCGACTGATACACGCCGCAAAACATTCGACCCAAGTCCTAACAATTCGAATGCTCTCACAACACATATATGAACTTCGGTCGATGCATAAGCAACCAGTTTTGGCCCATTGATAAGTCCATCTGTTCGCACATTTGCTAGTGCTTTTTGGCGAGCCGCTGCTAAACATGTTACTGTTGCCATTGATGTTCCACTTGCAATGAGGCCACCAGTACTTCCTTCTGGATAACCAAACAGTTGACGCATCCATTTAATGACTGTACGCTCGACTAATATAGCACTATGAGTACCACCACCAGTCATTGAGTTCGTTGTTGCAGCGATCAAATCAGCAAGTGTACCACCTAGCGTCCCTTCGCCCACAACCCAAGCCCAAAAACGAGGGTGCGTATTGCCTAGAGAGTAAGGTAGAAAGTAAGTGAGTACATGTTGGCAGACATCTGATAATGTTTGGCCTTGTTCTGGAAACGCTTCATTTTCGAGTATCATGCGTATGTCATTTGGAATAGGTTGCCAAACTGGACGATCTCGCACACATTGAGTATAATTTAACAATGAGTCAAGTAAGTTGTGTGCTACATCTCTGGTCGATGACCACTCTACAGGATCAAGAGATGTGTCTTCTCTAGTGACTAGTGGTAAAGTCATTCCAAAATGATTTCAACTTCTTCATGCTTTCTTTTATCTGTTACCTCCTTCTGGCGACGCTTTTACCGAATAGCACCATACTGACGATGACAATTTCAATACAGCAATCTCATTGATAAAAGAGTGCATTTTGGTCTTCCATTCATTCATCGAATCAATACTGTCGAATGATTCGCTCAACTTATTCGACGCTTCTTGAATCAATTCGTTCAATTTCGATTGCTCCATGCCTCTATTCAATGCAACGTTATCACTAAACAATGAATATGGCCACTATTTGTCTTCTTTTATATGTGCGTGCCCTTGGCAAAACACGAAGGTAATTGATAAGAAACTGACTGATAATAGCTTTGGAGCCTTATCTACATAAAAGTGTAGCACGATACACAAGATCAATCGTCAGCTAGCCAGGCGACTTGTTGGATTCTGTGCAGGATGCATAAAAACAAGGACATGTAACAAAACAGTTGTTGCGAATTTTGATATAATTGACATTGCTTAAAGGCTATTATACATATACTTTATTAGTATATTAAGAATCATCCCTATACTGTATTTTTTTCATTCCTTATATACTATCTCAGCATATAACGACCTTGAAAAATACAGTAAACACAATAAAAGAAAAATACGGAGTGTAAGGACAAATTCCGAGGAAGACAAAGGTTAGGTAATAATTATGGGTTACGCTGTGTATGAGAAAACGATACACAAATAAAACAGTTTCAAAGTACATAAAAGTAACAGATAGCAAAGAGCATCACGGTCATTTTAATCGAGCACATGCAACAAACTGCACGCTCTGTTTGACTGTTACGGGTGTGGGTGTGAGTCTTCTTTCATTTGAGACCCACACCCACACCCGCACACATATCCACACCCATACCTACACCTACACTCACATCCAAACTCAAACCAACACTCATACCCTCAAGTGTTTCCGATTGGCAATCACTCCTTGAATTACTTTTGTATGTTAGTCTCTTAGATTTCGATTGTTATACATTTACAGTCTTTAAATGAATATGAACTTATTCTGTGAACCATATTAGTTTTATCGCTGTGAGGTAACAGTTTTTGTCCAAATTGAATGTAAACAGTACACTGATGAAAAATGAAAGATATTGGAAAATATTTTATTATTTTTTTAGCAAAAACAGTCCTTTCGATGTTTTTCCAAAATTTATATAAGCCTATGCTTGTGCTTGCGAACGCCATCGATTACATTTGTTTTCATACAAGATAATTATAATATTGGCAATTAGCATAACAATCAGATATATATTTGAGTGAAAAGTATTTTGAATTGTAAATGCACTTCGACCTGTCGAACAAAAGTTTTGAAAAGAGCTTCGATACAACTATAGAAAAACGACACTCTCTACACTAAATGATCTAATTGATAGGGCACATCACCGAGTGTGGGTGTCGCGGTGTCGTTCTTGTGCAGGCGTACCTAAATATGTTTCAACTTTCAACATTTTGTCTGAAAAGTTTTTGATGACCTCTTATCTTAAGTCTACTAAAACTCATTCAGCGGAGTCTATAATTTCATATGTTCTCA